CGACTGTTATCTGCATGTCTATAACATAATATGCTATATAATTGCCAAAACCTACCTAATTTGCATTAAAAAAAAATTAAATATCAAAACCCCTGGCCCTTATTCATTCACATACCAAAAATGAGCAAAATCGGTTGAACCTGAACTGACTAATGGCAATTCCCATTTTTGCCAAAAAATTACCGTGGCTCGAAAGTACATCGACTGGCGTGCTCCAAAATAGGACGGTCAATATGGGAGCATTGCAGTAACAACTATACCCAATTTCAAACATGTGGGTAAAACGGTTCCTGAGTTATCGTTGACCGTAGCCAAATGTTGACGGACGTACGACGGACGACGACCCATGACAATAACTCATCATGATGATGTCAAGGTGAGCTAACAAGGTTCATACCCCACACGTGTAAGCGTTTTCACATTTCTTACTGGAAAAATAGTATACTGTTGAATGATATCATAACGAACTCGCGAAAATCCACCGGTGCGCTGGCATTTGAGACGAAAATGCACGAAATGTCAGTTTTTGCCCTGTTTTCATATCAATTTCTTATTATGAAGGGGAAAGATTTTCATACTATTTGAACGTGTAAGGGTGAGATAACACTCATGCAGTGTAAATGTGTCAGTTTGGTTAGCTTTCCTGCAAAGGAAATGTTGTAAATCAATAAGTGAATACGCAGGAATAACGCGAAAATCCCAGCGCATGACGGTAGGTGCAGCGTTGAACGTGTTAAGGTCTGTCCGCCGGACGTTAGCCATATTTTCGTTACAAACGGTTTTTGTCATGTGCCCATGAAAACATTTTCGACGGCTGTGATTGGCTATTTATAAAATTGTGCAAAACTGTTTGGCTGGAAATTAGAAACTATCTAGAATATTTTTGTCATTATATGTACATTATGTCATTACATGTATGCAGTTATTGCTGGACGTTATCGCGCGCGTCTGCAACAGCTCACGTACTAGTCTACAGTCCTTTTCAGTATTCACAAATCCAGAGATGCCAACACTTTTCTGAGCAAACTGTAGTGAGGATGTCTGAAATCTGTAGTCCGAGGGTCACGCAGTGATCCGAGTATGCTAGGGGGTTCGGGGCATGCCCCCCCCCCTGGAAAATTTTTGATTCCAAAATGCAATTTCCTGCATTCTGGGATCCAAAATGACAATAAGTCCACACTGATATTTGCTGCTTAATACATGTAGTTATTTTCAATCATGTTATATCAATGTAACACTGAAACAAAACACTTGAAATATCATAAAAAATATTATTTTTTTTATCGTAATAAAAATCGTAGTTGTATGCAAACTGGTCGTAGTGGTCAAAATGCAAACGAAATTTGCATAAAATACAGACAAATCGTAGTGGTTGGCGTCTCTGCAAATCTCTTCAGACATTCTGGTTGGTCCACAGGCACTTATAGCATTTCAATAAAATATAAGGCTAACTAAATACGAAATCAATTTACTACCAAATTCTTAATGTTTCTATACTCTCTTTCACCTATTATTGCCGACAATTTCCTGTAAATTCCATCCAAATCCTACGTGCAACCATATACGCTGCCGCCGGCCATTGCTCTCGCGGCTCCACTGTTGCACGCTTACACTAATATATATAGACTAGTGTATATAACTTAGTTATTGAATATTGTAGTAAACTGCTAAACACAATAAACACTAATAGTAATACTAATAGTAATATACACTAAACACTATATATATTAGTGTAAGCGTGCAACAGTGGAGCCGCGAGAGCAATGGCCGGCGGCAGCGTATATGGTTGCACGTAGGATTTGGATGGAATTTACAGGAAAGTGTCGGCAATAATAGGTGAAAAAGAGTATAGAAACATTAAGAATTTGGTAGTAAATAGATTTCGTATTTAGTTAGCATTATATTTTATTGAAACGCTTCAAGTGCCTGTGGGTTGGTCGATCGTTGTCCCTGAAGGCAGTAAAGTGTCACTGTGTCTTGACCTTTTTGCGGATACTGCCTGCCCAGTGCCCACATACTGACAGTGACACCGTTTCAGCCAAACCTACCGATGAAAAATATCTGTCAACTTCTGCGTCTGCTCCACTTCTGGGTCGTCTGGATGCATCTTTACATTACCCATTACCACTTCCTGATGAAAGTCCTTGTTTACATGTCCATCTCTTTCTATTTTTAGTCCGGCTATATGATCAGGTGGGTGCAAATCTTCAGCCTCAGGGCCGAGTTCTAAATGTTCACCAGGAAGTGAATTGACTTCCTTGCTATGGGGCTTCTTGCCTTTTAGCAAAGGTTTAGCATTACAACACTGACATTGTAAATATATAACTGCACTAATTACAACCAAATTAAAGGTTCCTCTTGCCGTAACACTTTTCAACTTCATAATGATTGAACAGGACTTATTTGTAAACTTTTCTGCCAACGTGTAAACAATGCTAGCGTGGTGCCATCTCTTGGTAGTAAATCAAAGTAAATGCATTTAAAGACAGTGGCGCCACCTGTTCTCCGCGTGTTCCTCCATGTTTTCTTGTGTCTGTACAAAGTAATTCGAACATATTCATCGGTTTTGCCGGTTTCCTGTTCACCTTTCGTGCTCTATGCCTATTATTAATCTCACCATTCCTGTTAAGAACATATTAAAAGCATAAGTCATGCCTTCAGAAGACCAAGGTCAAGGTTAGTAGTCGTGAAGAGATTTTTGAATTTTTGCCAAATTTTGCGTTCGTTGTTCAACTTGTTCAAAGTTGTTGCTGTACTCGTAGCTCCAGTACTATAGCGCGCGTATAGTTGCGGGCCGCAACGGTTCAAGGATAGAGAACATGGGTCCCAATAAAACCAATGTCATTTACATCAATATAAATATAATATATCAATTTTAGGGTTTAGGGTTAGGACGTGGATATTCGTCCGAGCATCGGACACCTGTTCGTATGCGCTATTCATCCGAGCAGTTGCTGCGCATGCGCTGTTAATGTTGTATTACATAAATGTAATATAATTTATAATATAATATAATACTGGAAAATGCTAGTCGCCTACTCTCCATCCTAACTACAATCTAAACCTACCACTAATTATTTAACTCTAACCTAACTCTTTTACTAATCACAATCTAAACCTACAAGTACAACTAATTATTAACCGACTCGTTTTGCTTATATAGGCGAATGATAGTACCAAACACTATATGGTGTATAACCACATACGCAACGCATGTATGCAGGGGCGCTCACAGCCGTAGGCTGCGTAGCAAAACGCAAGGCCAAAAAAGCCTAAAGCGGCAAAATATAAGCCTAATATAATATAATATAATAAAATTTAGAGCGTCTAGATTTTAAAATTGGCTGGGGGGAAACCCCCAGACCCCCCTTCACACTTTCTATCTCCGGCACGTAGAGGCCGTGCGCCTGCGGTACGCTACATCAACAACTGCTCGGACGAATAGCGCATACGAACAGGTGTCCGATGCTCGGACGAATATCCACGTCGTTAGGGTTATGGTTAGCTCTAGTACTATACGCCCGTGTTCGATTAACTGCCGCAGGGCTATAGCACATTGTCGGCTGAATACCAACTACGACCTGTTACCACCTGTCCCATGAAAAATGGATCGCAAACGCAAAGTTATCGGCTTTTAAACACTTATTTATCTACATGGACATCTCACCTATCTTTTAGAACACTTTCAACAAATTTACACCATGTATTTGTCCTTTTATTCCACAAAGTAAAGCACTACTGGCATTTTATTTTGAAACGAAGTGGCGTGCGCACGAGCCGTGACGTCACCGTATTGTATATACATGCCCATAGCTGCCATGTGTTTTGCGTACATATCCGGTAACGTCACGGTCGCGCACGCCGCTTCGTTTCAAATTGAAATGCCAGTAGTGCTTACTTTGTGGAATAAAAGGACTTTGCGTTTTGCGATCCATTTTTTATGGGGACAGGTGGTAACAGGTTGTAGTTGGTATTTCCCAGCCGACAATGTGCTATAGCCCTGCGGCAGTCAATGTACGCGCGGCTATAGTACTAGAGCTAGGTTTATGGTTAGCCTTACGGTTCGGTTTAGGCTAGACCGAATAATTATGTAGCCATATTATGGCATGTAACCTTTTTTTATATTTGGTGAGGGTTATATTGGGACAGAACGGGGTTCATTGAAATTTCGTGAGATCGCATGCAAAATGCATGACGCTGCTAATTGCGGCCCGTACGCCGCTATTGCGCGAGAAAAAAACCTACGGCGTTCCCTTCTACATGGCTTTTGCTACTGATATGTGTATACATTCACTTCAATCGTTATTTTACTTCTTTAAGCATTGTTTTCAGAAACCCCACTTCATTAACTTTAGTAAATTATGTGGCCATCTACAGAACAATCAGACCAATCACAGCGCAGTCTATCACGCCTCCTGCAGCGCCACAAGATACAAGCGAGAACCACTGGGCTATTGTAAGACTGCTGATTGGTCTGTATTGTTGTTGTGGCATTTTGGCATGCGATCTCACAAAATTTCACATGAACCCCGTTCTGTTGCAATCACCTTCACCAAAATATAAAAAAGGTTATATGGGACAGAATTATTCGGTCTAGGGTTAGGCACATTGGTTTTATTGGGACCCATGTTCTCTATCCTTGGCCGAGTTACAGGGCTATAGTACTAGAGCTTACTGTACTCGTATGCGTTATAATAAATTGCACTACCGGCCTCGTAGTAATAATAATATATTGCTAATCTAGTAGTAGTAGTAGTAGTTTAAGTTAGGGAAAATTAATGTGGATAAAGTTAACATGCGTAATTGTCTAGTTAGATACAATAATGTAACCCAAACCCAGGATAAGGTTACAAACGCGAGTCTATGGTTTTCTGTGGAGGACCCTGAGTGAATCACTCAGGGCAGTTTGCTGGTGCGTTTTCAGAGACTAGAACTTCCAAACTGGGTTTATCTAAAACACAACCTTTCTCGCGTATCTGGAACTACTATGTATCACAATAACTCTGTATTAAACTAATATAACTTGTTACAAAAATTCGAAGTGACGAGCGGCGGATTATTGAGCGCCATTTCTGTTGACCTGTGACGTAACGCATTCCCAATGCGCATAGCGATCGCGCAAACGCAGCACTCCGATTGGTCGGTGAATCTGCTATTCAAACCGAAGTACGTCACCGGTCAACAGAAATGCGGCTCAATATATCCGGCTGCTCGTCACTTTGAATTTTTGTAACAGGTATATTAGTTTTAATACAGAGTATTGTGATACATAGTAAGTTCCAGGATAGCGGAGAAAGGTCGTGTTTAGAATAAACCCAGTTTGGAAGTTCTAGTCTCTGAAAATGCACCAGCAAACCGCCCTGAGTGATTCACTCAGGGGTCCAGCGGTGAGAAACTAAGCGGTCGCCCAGTCGCCAGTGGCGATTAGAAAATCGACGGCGCGACTGCTTGCTCGTGTCAGCTGGTCCGGCGGGGCGACTACATAATCGCCGCACAGGAAATAAAAAATTTACCAAACTGAGGCCATAATAAAAATGTTGTTTGTTTGCCCTCACCCGACCGACCCGCCAAAAAAGGGCCCACACAAACATTTGCATTAACCTTTCCGATTTTTTTTAAAAAGTTTCTGTATGTGGCAGGCCTGCGGCAACTGTACGCGGGCTATAGTACTAGAAGCTATGGCACAGCCTGCGTACGTGCCTGTTAGCTGGGCGGCACTGATTGAAGTAGGGGGGAGGGGCGAGTGCATTATTGATTGTTTCACTTTCAGCTGCGTGCCAGGGTGTTACGTATGTTCATTATTACATATGTAGGGGGTGACAGGGCTTCCTTGGGTCGAGGTAAACACAATAAATCATAGGTAGACTAAGGCTACTAAATGTTGAATTTTGCCGGTTTCAGTCTGTCTCACTCCTTTTGATACACTCCTGGTGTTATGTGTAAGGTGTTATATGGAGAGTTTAGTTGTTGCACATGTTGTTTTTTTTCATGGTTGAGATGTCAATACAAATACATGTAGAATCATGCTTACACGTAACACATTAACCATTTGTTTGGCAAGTACACAGTGAAATACACACACACACGCACGCGCGCGCGCGCACGCACGCACACACACACATACACACACCATTCCATTATTACTGGCAGTGGTGATGCTGCTGCTACCGCTGCTGGTGGTACTACGCAATTAAAGGATCTCATGGAAACCAACGTTGTCAGTGTAAGTGCCATTTCTTATGGCAGCTCTGATGAAATTGTACATCTCACATCGAAAACTATCCCAAAATAGCTACTGAACATTTAACTTCATGATTACATGCTTATTTCTACTTACAACATTATTGGGCCTACAAAAATGTCTGTGCATGCAGCACAGTTGACAGACGGCGACATATTACAGCACAACGTTCACAGACAGCGAAATATTAGCAAGGCAAAGATATAGCGCCCCCTATTTTCAGGCAAATCTTTACCTTTTTTTTGTTGTATTTTTTAAGCCTTTTTTACCGTTTTCAACCGAGTAAACAGCGTGCGAGCTTGGCACTCGCCCGCTCGCCAATGTCGAGTGAAAATAATATCGGGCGAGTGAAAGCTAAAGCTGACTCGCCCATGTTGGCGAGTGAAATTAATTGTCTAGAACTTTAAGTAAATGTCGATTCCTTATATTATGTTATATATATCCAAACATTGATGAAATACAGTTGTAGCGATTGTGAAGGGCGGCTATCCCACGACATCCTCACTTTAGATTATCAAAGGTCGCAGAAGAAAGCAGCCCGCGAGAGCGTGCAGCGCCAGCACAGCGTGGCTGTGTATACGTGCCTGGGGCGGCATACCGATTGATGTACAGGGAAAGGGGAGGGGAGTGCAGGACTGTTTAAAAGTCACCTTGGCCTTGGTGTTAACAAGTCAATAAAATCGGCGTAACGTGGCGTTTCATTGATGGGGCAAAGCAGCCCGAGAATAAAAGTAAATTAAATGAAAATGAAAACGGAACTTTCAGAGGAGATGTGCCTTGAATTTTTGAGAAAAGTGATCAATGAATTACATGTGTAGTTAAATCAATGATGTTTTTGTGTTTTTTCACTATTTTTGACAAGCATTTTTGTTTTAAAATTTAGGCGAGTACAGATTCCGTTTGGGCGAGTTAACTTATCCGACCGACCTAGTCGGGTAAATGCTTGGTCCGGTCGCATACAACCAGAGTGCTAGTAGCCCGACTGGTCGTGTTAGAATTGGTCATATATATTGCACTGAAGTTCACCTCTGGTTCGCGGCCGCACTGTTTTGTCGCAGAGCGTGTACATTGTCTAGCAGAGCGTGAGGCCGGATACCAGTCTACCCTTTGGCAAAAACAATAACGTGGCTTGCTGCCAGCCGCAGTAGACGATCGATAAACCGTGCGCTCGTGTATGCCCAAGGTAGAATACGAATGCTGCACGTGAACTCGGCCCACGCGCGATTTAAAGCGCGGGAAACAGCATCTATGAATTCATACGATGACACATCTTATCTAAAATAAAGTTTTCCATAACAATGGTCTGGGTCTGGGCTAGTAAAAGTTAGGTCAGGGGTAGTGGTTTTCCTCAGTTACTAGCCCGATGGTCTAGTGAAATAAAAAGTTAATGTTGAACCCTGGGTTTTTATTTTAAAGCTCTAACACTGAGTAAAGTTTAGAACCCGTCCCGTGTATTCATCGATCTCTTCTGTGAATTTGGCGCTATTTGGATCAAAACTGACGGAGCCTTTCATTAACATACATAAATACAACATTCGCCAAATTATAGTAAGATAATGTGTGTGTGTGTGTGTGTGTGTGTGTGTGTGTGTGTGTGTGTGTGTGTGTGTGTGTGGTGTGTGTGTGTATGCGTGCGTGTGCGTGTGTACGTGTGTGTGTGGTGTGTGTGTGCGTGCGTGCGTGCGTGCGTGCGGTGTGGTTTTTGGTTTTACAAACCCCCCCAGAGGCCGGAAACGGCCTTCCCGCGAGTGTTCATTCTGGTTCCCTGGCCTCTTGCTAACTTGAGACACCTCATTCAATATCACCTTTAAACCAAAAAACACAAACGAGTTAAAATAGTGTTACGAACGAGTTAAAATGTTAAAAAACTGACAAGATCGGATCCTAGTCTTTTTCGGCGGGTAGAGTGTTGAATGAAACGGCACGCGATAGAAATGACAGCCTAGATGACAGAAGAATAGGTCCACCTAATTTAGCCATATTCTTGCTACGTTCATTTCAATAGTTTTTCCTGCCTAGACTCTTAAACTCGTCCAGCAAGCTTATGGATTTGAATTATGGGTGTTTAAAAAAAAAGATAACTTGGCCAAAAAAAGTGTAGGCCCGGGCCTACAGTGCTACATACTGGCTACGCCCCTGGTGTGTGTGTGCATGCGTGCGTGGGTGCGTGTTTATGCTGGGTGGGGTTGCTACACTAACACCACGGCCTGACTGACGCCGCTCGTGAAACTGTTGTGAGAGAATGAAGAACGAATGTAGCTTCTCATTTTCTTTCACTCTCGCTCGCTCTCTCTCTCACTCTCTCTCTTTCTTTCTCTCTCTCTCTCTCTCTCTCCCCTGATATCCTAGTCAGATTTGGTTAATTTTTGAAAGTTATTGTCATGACAAAGCAATAAGTGGAGTAACAGATGGATGCAAATTAATCAATTAATGCTAATTAATCAATTAAAAGTGTTTAAGTAACTAAGATATTTCAAAAATTCAGTTAGATTTCATATGAGGATACTACATTCTCATTATCCTAAAATTTTTACTGGAATATATTGAGAAAAAGAAGAAGATATATTTTCTGTCATTTTTAGCAATTTGCGATCACAGTTTTCACATAAAACGAAAGGAAATACAATAGACAATAATTTCGATAAAAACCGACAGTAAAATTGCTATAATTTTCTTGTTTCTCAACCAATCTTCAAAATCTTGGTGTCATTGTATTGCTCTTTCCAAGTCCCATCCTGTCAAACTAATCAAAAACCTTTTTAAACATTTTGAATTTTTTTGTCACATACCCGGGTACCTAGAATAAGAAACATTGTTAAATTTATGCGTGATGCATGTTGACATGTTGTGTATGTACGAGTCTCACACTAGACAATATAGATACAATAATGTAACCCAAACCCAAGATAGGGTTACAACGCGAGTCTATGGTTTTCTGTGGAGGGACCCCCAGGGTGAAAAACTGATAATTGGAGGCACTGGTCCAGCAGGACCAGTACCTCTGAGGAAGTACTGGTCCTGGTCAGTAGGCACTGGTCCAGGATTTCTGTCATAGCAAAGGCAATGACTCGGATGTGGGGACGTTTTTATACGGGGGGGGATGGTGCAATTTGGTGATGTGCATTCTAAGGTATTCTTAAAAATTATATTTTTTACTCGTTTCGATACACTGATGCGTAGTAAATCGGAACAAGTCCAAAGATCAATCTCAAAATCAATCAAATCAATCAAAGATCAAAATCAACGATCAAAACATCAAAGATCAGCGCGCTCTGAAGACCGCCCATTATTCTATAATTATCATATTTTATTACACAGCGATCGCTGATTGGTCGGGATGCCCAGTATTATCGAATTAGCAGAGGTTTAACAGCATGAGCCTAGAAAATCGAACACAACAAACATGGAGAGTTTGTGTACTTCGGCATGAACTTTAGGCTTCGGAATTTGACTATTTTTAGTCTATATTTGATTAAATTTACCATTGATTTCATCAGAATAATGTAGAAGGTTAGTAGGGAATAACAAAATAATCAGGCCACAATTAAACAATTTTTTGTTTGCCCTCACCCGACCCAGGCTGAAAAGTGTGGTTGGCTTTTTTTGAGGGGGGTCTTTTTACAAATTCAGCAATGGTGTCTACGTGCTCAGGTGTGCTTGTGTGGAGATACCTTTTATGTTTGCCTACACATTTATATAATGTACATTGTACAGTGATACAATATACATATAAAATACTTTTAACAACTTGTGTTTATCAGAGCTAAATTGTGCATGATTTTATTTCCAGATCACACACGCACGCACGCACGCACGCCGCATACACGTAATCTGGAAATAAAAGCATTACAAATAAAAGGAACTTGAATTAAGAAGTAATAAATATCTTCTTAGCAGCATATTAGTCTTGGAAAGGAAAATAAAGTTAATCTGTCAGAGTTAGATCCATAATTAAGTTATTTAGTATCTAAATTATAATATAGCGATTTCCAGGATTCCAGGAAAGTTTTGCTATCCAAGTTTTGGAATCCAGCGATTCCAGGAAAGTTAAACACGCCTTGTTGTTATTATAGGCCATGTCGAATGACAGTAATTACATGTTATGAACAATATTGTTAAGAACAAATAAAATGGATAAAAATACTAAACATGTGAAATTTTTTATTTCTAATGTAAATAGTATCAATAACACCAAGTCGTGTTTAACTTTCCGAAATCCCTAGCAAACCTCGCTAGTTCTTTGCTATGTTTGCATTGCTAAGCGATAGAGGGCTTTCAAAAGCATTGCCCTTATGTTTCGGTTCACAGTTGTTGATTTCACGGTATAACTTTCTAAAACCACATTGTACGTTTGGACGCGATATCTCCCGATTTGTCATTTTTGTGAGACCAACGATTAGACACGGATAAAGTTTAATGATTAAGGCAAGACTTGAGCTCAAGTTTATCGAGGTAAACACAATAAATCATAGGTAGACTAAGGCTACTAAATGTTGAATTTTGCCGGTTTCAGTCTGTCTCACTCCTTTTGATACACTCCTGATAACACTACTGGTAACATATGCATCACAGACACTAAGCCCGCGCCTAGCGCGGGTTCCAGCTAGTTATTATAAATTACTATCTTACTACTTTCTATGATACATGTTTACTTTCTATGATATCTGTTTATAATCTATTATACAACAAGTAACTAGTATAACTATAGCTGTAATAATAAGGTTTGTTATGCTTTAGCCATTAATACTGGTTAAAATTTGCTGTCTTGTACAATTCTGGTTGACTAAGGTAAGTTACCATTGAATCATTGCACTGCAGCAAGTTTCAGAAATGTGCACATGGCATTTTGTTTGTAAACACAGCTGATCAGCCAATCAAATTGCGCTATTCAGGTCACGTGATCAGATGCAGGCTAGCCATATGGAACTTTATGGCAAACCATTGTTGATAAAATCCTCAATCATCGACCCTATGATGAAATTTTTTACCAAGAGTATCATGTTTATGTTATCTTAAGATGTTTAAAAAGACACTAGAGGTAGTATTACCCATTTTTAACATTAGTGGAATAGTTTTATCCGGCTCGATTTGGAGCCTAATTTCTTGGATTTCTCATTGCACCAAGATGTCGGTGGCCCCGACCGGTGTCTCGACAGGAGGGAATGAACTCGTTTTGAATCGTCAGATCTCGATGAAACTTCGTAGGTTTATGGTTGAAACATAGTAAAACATCTCAGCTTACCTCAGAATATTCTCATATATAACATAAAGAAGTATACGGCTGCTGAATTTGTCCTAAAACTTAAACGAAATTGATCAACATGAAAAACCTAACTAATGTGAAAAATTCGAAATCGAGGCAATAGCTGGTGATTCCTTCTACATCATACCAAGGATTCCCGTGGAATACCCAACGCGAACCAATCACCAGACCGCTTTTCATGGGCTACCCAGTTTGCGCGACGCAACAGATCGTCAGCAGGAGAAACGGAGACAATTGCCACCGCTGAATGCGGGTTTTGTCACATACCTATTTTGTTTCACATAATATTTTCTCAATCCTGCATTTCTGGATGTATTGAATCGGATGTAGATTCCTTGAAGCAACTTCGGTTATTTATATTAAACATTGTGAGTAAAATAATGCAGTGTGGTAATTTATGTCTATTATGCCAGAGCGCGAGAGTAAGAGGAGGCGGTCACGAAGCAGGGACCGAAAAAGACGGTCGCGTTCAAAGGATAAAGAGTCAACGAGGGATAGACGAAAAAGGTATGTCACTTTATTGGTGGTGATGGCGCTGTAAACTAGGTTTCATTTCCTCGTTTATTAAAAATTGGAGTTTCCTTCACAAAATGTTTTTAGAGTTTTGTTTGCTGCTAGGAAACGGTCTCTAGTAAAAGTAAACCACTTTGAAGAGAAAAACATATCAAATCACTTGAACATTGGCTTAGCTCATTCATGTACACAAAACAAAGAAAACTTGAATGTATCATACCTGTAGATACAAAACTGGGAGTGACTATTGCTGAGCTGAGAATTTAGTATCTAAGGAAAGGAATGTTTGATGCAGTTCAAAAATTGTTGTTTTGTTGGCGAAACAAAGAAAACTTGGTTTTGAACTATTCTGTGGAGACTGACTAATGTCTTTGAATCGATGTTTGCAAATGTTTGTATGCATCTTTGCAGCCGCGACCGGTCACCCCCGGCCACCTTATCCTCCTCTGGCCCACGTAAGAGCAGAAGAAGAAAGCCAACCATGTACTGGGACATCCCTCCCCCTGGATTCGCTCACATCACACCTCTCCAATATAAAGCAATGCATGGTAAGACATTCGTTACATGACAGTATGAGTATTAAAGTCATCCTGCTAAGCTCCTGTATCTTGATTACAATATGGCGACTGTGCTGAAAATCCTGAGGCCTATAAATAAAAAGACGTTTGTTTCCGCTAACCCGACCAAGTCCATTTTAAACCCCCATGTCGAAACTTTGTGATCGGCCAAAAAAAAAGAAGTGAATGCATTGATTTGACTTTGAAGTCATTATATGGGCTGTTATAAGTATAAAATAAGTATTGTTAGAATATAAAAAAATATTTGATAAAAAAAAGTTTGGCCTGCCTACCGTGTCCAATTTTTTTCAGCTCATTAGCGGAAACAAACATCTTTTTCTCTTAGGCCTGAGCAGCAGTTGGGGTTGCAAGGCTCGTATTTTTACAAGGAATCGCTATACTTTGTTTTACAGCCGCGGGTCAAATCCCAGCACAGGTGGTTGCTGCTGCGCAGGTCGTACAGCAGGAAAACTCGCCGCTGCCAATAGTGGGCAGCACCATCACTCGTCAAGCTCGCCGCCTCTACGTTGGCAACATTCCATTTGGGTGTACAGAGGTATGTGTACTAGTGCGGTGAGGGCTAAACTGTACTATGAGCAAGGTATTGACAAGCTAGGACAAACGGGGTGAAACTCGTCCAAAACATGATTTCCCTCATAGAGGATCTCGTTCCTGTTTACAGCAAGCCATGATGGATTTCTTCAATCATCAGATGAAAATCACCGGTCTCGCGCAGGCAGCGGGTAATCCCATCCTTGCGTGTCAGATCAACCTTGACAAGAACTTTGCTTTCTTGGAGGTGAGTTTTTGAAATTTCGTTGAGACGGTTCATATTCTCCATAATTGCTATGATCCATTTTACTATTTTTACCCCAGTCTTCACTGATTATTCTTGCAATTGATTGTGTTTATTTTTCTATTGATTCCTGAATGTTATCTTGCAGTGAACTTTTAACACACTTGTTAATCTGGCATTTGAAAGATATTTGCAAACACGTTGTTAGTGAACTCAAACGCTGCATTCAATGTACAAGTCGTACAATTTGGGAGAAGGTTTAATGCTATGTGATTGGTTACAGTTCCGCTCGGTGGATGAGACAACACAGGCAATGGCGTTTGATGGCATAAACTTTCAAGGTCAGCCCTTGAAGCTGAGAAGACCACGCGACTACCAACCAATGATCGGCGTCTCTGAAATCCCCCTAAACACTGTTCCTGGTAAGAACTGTACGATTACTCATATCGCCATCAGAATCTACAAGAACGATACTGAATCTAAATGGAGACCTGCCAAATGTAATCACGTTGTAACGTTGACTTGCATTGCATTGAGAACTTTGACGTTGTAATCTGTATAGAATGAGACTAGGTTGTGTGACTGTGGAGTTGTGTAGATCGTAAGTGACGTGCCACGCGGTCATAGTGACGGTGTCATGTTTCAGGTGTGGTATCGACAATGGTGCACGATTCTCCTGACAAGCTGTTCGTTGGAGGTCTACCAAACTATCTCAGCGAGGATCAGGTAGGGCATTCACGCAGCGGCGGTGGTGGCGGCGTGCGATGCGTTGTCATGGCGCCATGCGGACCCTCCCGCACGTGATGATGTGATGGCGTGGCCTGTCGGATTCTACGTTCATCTCGTCGGTCATGTCGGTGTTCACTCATCATTGTCTGTATGTTTCTACGTGTAGATTATCATTTACGCCTTGTGACCGTTCACATTTAGTGACATGTAGTCACAATGTGACTGCAGACTGTCCGATGTCGGTGGTAAGCGTGAGTTGCCCACAAAGAGGAGGGGGGGTGGTGTTACCCATCATTTGTATCCGTAACTGAGGTGGGGTGGATGTGTCCTATGGGAGAGGAGAGTGTTTGTGTGTGGGTCGGCATAACGGTGTAAAAGTGTCATTGTCTGCCTAATAGCGATAGTATGGTCTTTGGTATATTGTGCACTATGCATCTTTCGTATAGGAAACGACTTATCACTATTTTTCATTTATATAAGTTTAGATAGCATCTATTGCCAGTTTTGGCATCTTTATTGCATCTTTGCATGTGTAGGGTCTATCCATATATTTTCTTACAGTGTTTATTAGGTGGTCTTTGCTGAAAAAGTACATATATTTGACTTTCCTCGCTGTCTAGACAAACCAATTTCGTTCTTGGTTGCAAAAGGTTGCTTTCAGGTTTTTACAGGGGTTGTGAAAATATTCATAGGTAAAGATGTGAGAAGGAGCAGACCACTTGCTTTCATGTTTTTACAGGGGTGTCAAAAATATTCATAGGTAAAGATGTGAGAAGGAGCAAACCACTTGCTTTCATGTTTTTACAGGGGTGTCAAAAATATTCATAGGTAAAGATGTGAGAAGGAGCAAACCACTTGCTTTCATGTTTTTACAGGGGTGTCAAAAATATTCATAGGTAAAGATGTGAGGAAGGGAGCAACTATTGCTGTCAGCGTTTTTACAGGGGGTGTCCAAAATACTTTTGGTAAAATATGTGCACCAAGGCGTCCTTCGTTTCAGTGGCCATTTCTAGGTTTTTAGTGTGCGCATCCAAGGAGCAAGTATTCGTTTCAGGAGTTTCTGTAAGTCTGGAAGATGTGTGGCGTTTGTGGCACAACGCCTTTCCATTGGAGGCTTTTCAATTACATGCAATTATTTTTAATTTGTTTAAGCACTGAGATGTGTTTAAACACTGAATTTGTTTAAAAACAGATCCTATCACCAATAATAAAGTTCTAGCGCAGTGTGGAACCGATAACGATAAAAAAGGTTGTGAAGGCACTTGCTCAGTCGAAGGTCGCGAAACGTGAATGTGCTGACTTGTAGTTCTTTTGTGCTGGTGACTGTACTGAATGATTCAGAAGGTGATACTCATCTGCTTTTTTTCCTTTTCCTTGCCTTTTGTCCCTAGCAAGGGTACGCGGTTGTTGATAAAGCTAATACGTGCCACAAATACGCACTACTGCTCTGGCTGCAACGAAGGCCAAGTGCTCCTGGTGGTTTTATTTTACTATGGGTATCACTGTTCGGTAGAGTTTGGGCAAGACAGACAGGTTAGGGTACAATCTTTCATTTCTATCGTTTCGGAATGCGTGGGGGCGTGTGATGTATTGGGGGATGCTGCCTGTCAAGTGCATGCGTAATACAAGCTGAGCTTGTAAGAGAGGTTGGTTTTGAACCAGGAGGTGTTGGGGGCTAAGATCCATGTTTAAGTTGAGTAGTCCAGATTGGTCTCATCTGTAGATAGTTTAGGCTAATATGTGTGTGTATTATTTACACGCATCTAGTCTTTCCCTCTTATATGTTTCCTGTAGTCAAGCATTGGTTGAGTTTCCAGCTTTCGACCTGT